GGGGGGCATTGGGATTTTTGGGGGGGTTGGGCTTTTTTGGAGATATGTTAGGAGGTTTTGGGGATTTGGGGTTTTTGGGAGGAGTTGAGGAGTTCAGTGCTTTTCGTGTTTTGGGATTTCTTTCTGGAGGAAGGTTGAGGTTTTTGGAGGGAAGGATGAGCTTTTTGGGGATAGTTTGGGATCTTTTTGGCTTTGGTTTTTTTTGGGATATTTGGGGAAATATTTTGGGGGGGTCTTTACCCATTTTGGGTCCTTTTTTCTCCATCCAGACAAGCCCTTCATGATCATCACGGAGTACATGGAGAACGGGGCGCTGGATAAATTCCTGCGGGTAGGTGAAGCGCGGGGCCAACGCGTCCTCCCTCCAAGGACAGGACCACCAAAACCCCTGCCAGGAGGTGGCCCAAGACCCGGATTTGAGGATTTTCCCCTTTTCCCAGGAAAAAGAAGGAGAATTTGGGGTCATCCAGCTGGTGGGGATGCTGAGGGGCATCGCCGCTGGCATGAAGTACTTGGCCAACATGAACTACGTGCACCGGGACCTGGCCGCCCGCAACATCTTGGTCAACAGCAACCTGGTCTGCAAAGTGTCCGATTTCGGGCTTTCCAGGGTGCTGGAAGACGACCCCGAAGCCACCTACACCACCAGCGTAAGTGCCACCAAGTGCGTGGTTGGCTGCGCACCCAAGTTTTTTGGGGGGGCGTAGGGTTAACGCCGGTGTCGTGGCAGGGCGGGAAGATCCCCATCCGATGGACGGCGCCCGAAGCCATCTCCTACCGCAAGTTCACCTCGGCCAGCGACGTCTGGAGCTACGGCATCGTCATGTGGGAGGTGATGTCCTACGGTGAGCGCCCCTACTGGGAGCTCTCCAACCATGAGGTGAGCCCCTGCTCCTCCGCCAACCATTTTTGAGGTGTTCTTGCCGACGGGCAGCCTTTTTGGGGGAGCACCACCCAACCTCCTCCTCCTCGCAGGTGATGAAGGCCATCAACGAGGGCTTCCGCCTCCCCGCGCCCCTGGACTGCCCCTCCGCCGTCTACCAGCTGATGATGCAGTGCTGGCAGCAGGAGCGCAGCCGGCGACCCAAATTCCCCGACATCGTCAGCATCCTCGACAAGCTCATCCGCGCCCCCGACTCCCTCAAGGCGGTGGCGGACTTCGACCCTCGGTGAGCATCGGTTTTTGGCTTTTTTTCCCATCACGTTTTTGCGTTTTCCCATTGGTTTTTGCATTTTGCCATTGTTTTTTTTTAATTTCTCTATCACTCTTTGCCTATTTCCATCACTGTTTGCACGCTTCCATTGCTTTTTTGCATGTTCCCATCATTTTTTGAATATTTTACGTTCCTTTTTGGCATTTTTACACCACTTTTTACATTTTCCATCAATTTTTTTGGCATTTTTTCCATTTTTTTATATTTTTTTCTATTACTTTTTTGCTTTTTTCCATCGTACTTTCCATTTCCCATCACTCTTTGCATATTTCCATTGCTTTTTTTGCATGTTTCCATCACCTTATGAAATTTTTCCTTTCCTTTTTGGCATTTTCCCATCACTTTTTCCATTTTCCATTGATATTTTTTTTTGGCATTTTCCCCTTGCTTTTGTGCACCTCTGATATTTTTGCATCCCCTTTTTTTGCAGTTTTTCATTCTTGCGCTCCCTTTTGCATCTTGGTGTTCTTGCATTGCTTTTGGAGCCTCTGCATTTTTGGGTTGGTTTTTGCATCTCTGCAGTCTTGCATCTCCGCGTTATCATTCGCACCCTTCCATTTCTGCACCACATTTTGCACCCTTCCCTTTCCACAGGATTTTTCCATCCTCCCATTTCTGCACGATTTTTTGCACCCTTCTATTTCTGCACCATTTTTTCCATTTTGCCATGATTTTTCCATCCTGCCATTTCCACACCATTTCTTTGCATCCTTCCATTGCCACACATTTTTTTGCACCCATCCATTTCTCAATTATTTTTCGCCCCCTTTCATTTCTGCATTATTTTTGCACTCTTCCATTTTCGGGTTATTTCCGCGCCCTCCCTTGTTGCACCCCACTGACCCCCGTGTCCCCGCAGTGTGTCCATCCGCCTGCCCAGCAGCAGTGGCTCGGAGGGCGTCCCGTTCCGCTCAGTGCCAGAGTGGCTGGAGTCCATCCGCATGCCCCAGTACACCCAGCACTTCATGACCTCGGGCTACAGCACCATCGAGAAGGTCCTGCAGATGACCAGCGAGTGAGTCCCCTTGGTGTCCCCTTGGTATTCTCATACTGTCTCTTTGGTGTCCCCACAGTGTCCCCTTTGTGTGTCCATGGTATTCCCATGGTGTGCCCTTGATGTCCTCATCATCTCCCCATAGTATCTTTTTACTGACACTTTGTGTTCCCAGTGTCCCTTTTGTTTCCCCATTGTATCCTCATACTGTCCCTGTGGTGTCCCCATGGTGTCCTTCTACTATCCTCATGGTGTCCCCTTGGTATCCTCATGGTGTGCCCTTGGTGTCCCCATGGTGTCCTCATACTGTCCTCATGGTGTCCCTGTTGTGTCCCCTTGGTATCCTTGTACTATCACCTTGATGTCCCCATGGTGTCCCCTTGGTGTCCCCATTATATCCCCATACTGTCCCTGTTGTGTCCCCATGGTGTCCTTATGGTGTCCCCTTCACATCTCCATGGTATCCTTACATTGTCCTCGTGGTGTCCACATGATATCCTCATACTCACCCTTGGCATCCCCACAGGGTCCTCGTACTGTACTTGTGGTGTCCCTATGGTGTCCCCTTCATGTCCCCATGGTATCCTTGTACTGTCCCCATGGTGTACCTGTGGTGTCCCCATAGTATCCTTATGCTGACCCTTGGTGTCCCCATGGTGTCCCCTTCATATCCTCATGGTGTCCCCTTCACATCCCCATGGTGTCCTCATACTGCCCCCGTTGTGTCCCCATGGTGTCCCCATAGTATCCTCATACTGATCCTTGGTGTTTCCATGGTGTCCTCATGGTGTCCCTTTGGTGTCCCCATGATATCCTCATACCAGCCCCTTGATGGTGGCCCTTTGGTGTCCCCATGGTGTCCCTATGGCATCCATACACTGTCTCCTTGGTGTCCCCCCACTGTCCCCTCCAGTTCTCGCTGGGAACTGAGCCCCCTCCGTGTTCCCAGGATCAGGCCTGCTTGAGCCAGGGGGTGGTGGGGAGGAGGCAGTGACCCTTTTTGGGCTCTTTCCACCCAAAACCCCTTATTTTATTAAATTTTTCCTCCTTTTCCCCAGTGACGTCAAGAAAATCGGGGTGCGTCTGCCGGGGCACCAGAAGCGCATCACCTACAGCCTGCTGGGGCTGCAGGAGCAGGCGGCCGCCGGGGGGGTCCCCCTCTAACCCCCCCAAAAAATACTTGAAAGCCACTAAATGAAGACACCCCCC